ATTGAAAAGGCTTATTTGGATAGGGTAAAAAAAGAATCAAGAATAACGTTATGTCTTCGTGGAAACTAAACTGGGCTCAAGGTCCCTTTGGCCTACTTGGGATATCCTATTGAATTGAGTTGATGATTTGAATTATATCAATGTCAATATAAGTTTAAACACTCTTATTTTGTCCAAATTAAACCATTTGTTTGCAGCTCTGCCGAACCATACGGACTCGAAGGTGGTCGATTTTCAAAGTAAATGTTTCTAGTTCATATTGGCCAGAAAATCAAATAAAGTAAAAAGAAGTCAGGTGATTTGTGATAAAAAGAACGGAGGTTTTAATGTTCCGAAAGTAGAAGAAATAATAATGGCCCAAAAACTATCAATTATTAGAAGATTCTTTAATAAGTAAATAACATGGGGTACTCTTTTTCAAATGAACTTACCGAAAGTTGGACAAGGTTCTAAATTTGAATACAACTGCCAATATCTGAGAAACACTATTGTCAAAACGATACGAAACGACTTTTACAAGGATCTCCTAACTTCTTGGTGGAATTTCATTTCATCTATTCATTCCACAGAACTATCAGAAATCGACAATACAAACAATAAAACAATACTGCAGGGCCTAGATTTTCGCAACGATCGTAGCCCTAAAATTATCGTAAATTTATCGGAAGGAAATTGTAGGCTATCGTAGCATATTTTCGAAACTATCGTAGGCCTAAGATATCTTAAGATTGTAGTAAATCTAAGATAGCCCCTTACCTGTCGTAAGCTTATCTTATCTTCATCCAAGATGGCGGCATACTTTTCCATAGATATTTTGCCAAATAATAAGTCTGCTTTACGTTCAAACATGGACATTTCATTTTGTAAAACTGTGTGATTCAAACTGACACTTCGAAAACACGAAGAACGCGTCAAGGATTTCACGTCAAAAATGTTCTTAATCGCGACAGCGATCCACATTACTGTGGAATCGATAGCTTACAATATATTTCTATCAGAGTCTATGCTGAAGAAGTGTGAAACAACATACCTTTTCGATATTTTGGGAAGGATAAAAACGGAAGGTGTCGGCAGGCTACAGTAATGACCGTGACCTCATTGATAACTCAGGGGGAGCTAATCTTAGTTCAAACTCTAGTTGAGAGTGGTTTCGCTTGGTATTCGCCCGGGACACCTTCCTTACTGTTACAGTTTTCATAAAGCGCAGAGTTCAGCTGTTATATTTTCTGGATCGCATTTGTGTCAATGCTTTAGTCTTTATTTTCGCATTGTATAAAATCATATCAATCTACATATGTAAAAAAAACCTTAAAGGTATCACATAATATTTTACATCTAAAATCATGTGGGATGGGTGGTTTTAATAATTGAATTTTAACTATACAGTGTAGTATTTATTGACTTAACAAGGAAATACATGTGATCAAATATTGGTATACAATATCTAATATTTTTCTTGCAAAAGTAATTGTAATTTGTGTCGTTTTAAATTCAATACCTATGTTATCTATACCTTCTTGAAAGACAAATATTTGAAAAAAAAAATGATTAAAAACTGTCTGTTGAACAATTGCATTCTTTAAAAACGTTGATTAAGGACATAAGGATGAATTCAATTAAATATAACAATTTACTGAAATTTTGACCGTAAAAGTTAAGCACAAATTTTGGTATCGACAAATCAAATAAAAAATGGGTTCCCATGCTCGTTCTGGTTCACGTCAAAATGTAGCACAGTTTGCAAATTCCAATATATGTTCGCAGAAAAAAATAATTATTGAATGAAGTTTACTGATCAATATAAAATTCACATTTTCAACACAATAATCTGTGCATTCAATAAACCGGTTTTAAAATGTTTTGGTGTTTTTTAATATTTAAGTCTACATCTTCCCGTTTTATGTTTAACAAATATATAGATATTCTTCAGACCATTCAAACAATAAAATCGTTGTCACGTTTAAGGTCAATGGACAAATACTAGTAAATGATCCTCAGCAACTTGTCAGACAAGCCAAACATCATTGAACTATGTTCAGGAATAGGTTTGACACCTTACAAAGTATTTCGCTCCTTAGCCAGATTTAAATGAAATCAGACAAATCAGTTTATTAGCTGTACTGAATTTAAAAGGATAGAAAATGACTACTTTATATGTGTGTTCACGTTAACTTGTGGTGTGTTCCATGAGACAACATAACTTGACAATTCCAAAATTATCTCTCTTTGCGAACGAAAATTAGTGTCACTTTTAAATTTTGAAAAGAATTATGGATCTAGATAGATAAACAAAAAAATTCATCATCTAAATACTTATAGCTTGATATTGTATTTAAGTCCTTGGTTAATTCGTGAAGTATTTTGGATACATAAACATAACAAAACAAACTTAACAAGCTTAGATTGTCATAAAATCTTGCTTGTGGGTGCGCTGCTTCCTGAACAATTTTTGTTTTGAGTGTTTCCACGTATAATGTTGGTATTCACACTAATATAAACTTGACTTTTGACATAAACACAAACATATACAGTATACATCACTTAACATCAGACTTGAACACGCATGTTGAATGCTGAACGCATATGCTGTTCGATCAAAGGTCTCGTCATTGTCATTTAGAATAACGTCCCTCACTTTCGTCCTTGAATTTTTACGCGATGTGTTTATATAATAAATTTCTGCGCGGTCACGAGAGGACCATTTGAAGGGAAAATAGTGAAGTATCTTTTGGCACATTATTTCCATTCTAATAGCTAAAGTGTGGTAACACTATACTTATTGGCTATAACATTTTTTGGCTTTGATAAATGCTATTGCATGGCACATGAATGCTTTTTGTGTTCGGTTAGTCATGGCATCTTTTATCATAAGAACAACACGTCTACATGTAGGACATATGTAGGATTGTACAGAATTTCACTCAAATATGTGCGTGTTAAACAATGTGACCTGACAATGTGATCATGAATTCCGTGTCATTTATCTATGTTGTTGTTATTGTCAGCAGCTGGGGAATCCCCGTGACGTCATCGGAAAACACCCGCTTTTTCAATCTCTAACACAAATGAGTTCTCTGTTAGAGTTACGATAGGTATCGTAGCACTGAACGATCTGCGACAGGTTTTCGATAGTGTCGAAAATCTATCTTATCTTAACCTTAAGATATCTTATCTTTGAACGTAAGTAGTTAAGATTTATCTTAGCTAAGATCGTTTCGAAAATCTAGGCCCAGAACTATAAGAATCAATCGGAAGAATTTGAGACCCCTCTGAAATCCCATTTGATCCTTTAATATGCAACACCTACAGAAATGTGGAAAAAGACACTACTTTAACAAACGTTTGGTTAAAAAAATATTTTTAAAAAATCAACGCTCCATGAAGCGGGAAATATTTTGAAAGTTGAAATATCTGAAGAGCACTGGACAAAATCTAACCGCAAACTCTTTACGTGCACTGTAAATACTAAGCTTCATTGTTTTCAATACAAAAGTCTACCCCCTTTCTACCTACTAATAATATATTATCCAAAATGGGATATATAGACAGCAATACATGTAGCCTTTGAGACTCACATAGAAAGGACTGAACTGTTTTGGGATTGCAGCTGAGTAAAATCGAACTGGGCAGCACTGGAACTTTGGCTAAACACCAGCTCTCAAATCAAAGGAAATATCCCCAAACGACATGTTTTGCTTGGATACAAATTCAGAAGTAATGCCTCATTCAAATGTATAATTACACATTTTATCATGTTAAGACACAAAGCATATTCCATTGTTCCAGATCTGCAAGAATGTACTGAAGCAGTATTTCTTCATCCCCAAATGTACAGGGGGAATTTAGTCACATCTATAAATAATGGTCATCATGCCATGCACTTTTCGTAACATGGAAATCACCGTTTTTCTGTTTTGTGAAAACAATATGAAATCCACAAAAAAATGTTTAAAAAAAGAAAAAAAGGTTCTGCATTGCCAACAAAGCAGGTTCATCTCCAAAATATGCATAGAAAATAGTTGAACACGGGTGCTACTTTATGCTGACATGCGCAGTGGGACTTTCAGTTGGGAACCCACGTATACCTATCGCTGCGGTTACCTTCGGAAGCAGTCACTAGCCAGTATTCAACGTCGTCACAGTCGGAAAGGTAAAGTATCGAAACGTCTCAATTTTGATTATATTTGTGATTATATAGAGTTCAGTCGTCATAAATAACCATTGGTGGTTCAATTCATTTATTAAATTGCAAAAAGAGAGACAGATAGGGGGAGGGAGTATAAGAGCAAATGTGCTATAGCATAAAGAGCGAAAAAGATGTTACAAGTGTCACCAATAATTTCTTTTATGTCTATATGTTATTGCCCAAAATTAACAGAACTGATGATGTAATGATATGAATACATCAACAGGCCATGTTTTATTTATGAAAGAAGTATGCATTAATAATGGCAAAGTAACATGCATATGCGTGTTGAGTACCAGTTGTATATTCATTGGAGATTAAAGCTGATATATGGCAGACATCCGGGCCTGAGGCATCAAAGATAAAAGTATCAATAATGGACAATTACATGTAGATATACCAAAAAATAATGGAAATAATACAAGCACAAAAAGTTTCAATGATGAGAGGATTCGATGCACCGACATCAGACAGACATAAACTACTCTCCAACAATCTACCAAAACTGTGATCTTAAAAAATGTTTGAATATAGAAAACTCAAAGATGTTGTCATCCGGCTTGTTTGTAATACGTTCTATATTGTGACCTTTTTTCAGCCTGTTTGGACTTTACTTCTAGATTAGAGAATGGCAAAAGTTAAAACAGTAATACAACTTCGCAAAATATCTGGAATAATATAAACATTCTATTTGGCAGAAAACTAATGTTTTGATACTTTTCACAATCTGCTTATAAATGAGAACAATGATATGGCAAAGTATATTTGTGTTCGTAGCCAGAAATTAACGGTGGAACTCAAATTAACCTGGACTTTCGGTTTGTGCGGAGAAATTACGATTTTACAACAATGTTCATGCTCCTCATTGGTCTCCTCACCCTGTCGTGTCTCCCCCGGTCGATTCTCGGCTGCTGTGATGATAGCAACGCCCTTCTGTACAGAGTTGACATCACCCTTCCTCCTAAGGTGGGGAGGGACGAGACGGCAGACATATTGCAGATTAAGGCAAAAGTGGAGGGTCTAACTGACATCAAAGTTATATTTTCATTTAAGGTTAGTGTAATTGTTGCATCGCCATTTTGTAAAGCGTAGACCACGTCACGTAGCTTGTCATAAGAGACGATTCAATTTGGATCAGGTTGCTCTGTGCCTTAGCTGATTGCATGTGATCTTGCCCCGATGGTGTTGATCCTTGCTCATCAGGTGTTTGTATTTTGGTTGCAACAAAGCATTCTGTTATTCTCAGAGAAACAACCATGTTGCTAATCACAACAGACTTTGATCGGACGTCGCCGTTTGTCAGTCCCTGAGTCTTTGCCCATAGATATTTACAGTCTGCTTGAATACTGTTTATCTTGCCTTAGAAATATTCACCCTTTCACTTACTCAAATTGTTGTTTTACAGGAAATCGGGAACCCAAAGGTATTGCTTGGTGAGTTCGATTATACAAATATGCTGAAGTTTCCCTTATAACAAAGTTACTTTTAGACATACTCTACTGTTGCTCAGCACATCTCCTATTAACGGAATATATAACTGTACTACGTAACTAGCTGGCATCGCCAAACCTGAACCAAACTTCATTAATCGTGAAGGACATTTGATTTTGTCCAATCATCGTCCACAGATGAAGTATGACACAATGGCTTTCAGTGTGGGGTTATGACGATCTTTCAGAAACTACATTATAGATAGAACAGCTATCCACTTATAGTCAATTGACATGTTTATCTCATATGTTTGTTTACACGACAAAGAAAGAAATATCTGTTAATTTCAGTTCTTAATGTTGAGAAAGCGTGCAGCTGGCCACAATTGACAAGCTTTCTGTCACGAAAGGGCTATGAGGTGAAGACGACCCCAGTGTACCGCTGTAGTGACTACGCCCGGTAACTTGGGGTCAATGTATCAAGAGACATTTATGATTTGTCTCTCGAGGATGATGAGCACTTACTTCTTTGCAAGCAAATATTTCATGTCAAAGGTATGTCTGGCAGTTAAGCGCTTACATATCGATCGTTTCATGTAAGTATTATCATATAGTTGCAAGTTAGCATTTTCATATAGTTACAAGTTAGTATTATCATATCGTTACAAAGTAGTTTTATCATATTGTTACAAGTATTATTATATAATTAAACGTATGTGGTTAGCGCATCAGTCACTATACATACAGCATCACATGGGTTAACTCACCAGCAGAAAACCTTTCCTAGCTACTGTGCGTGTTGGTTTAAAAGGGGGATAAACACAACAGCTCTTCTAGCGAGTATAAGCTTTGTCCAGGAATAATAACAAGGTAGCACTGTAGCTCATTTAGTTATACATTAAACTCTTTGATATATCAGCACAGGAAGTAATATAAACAGGTGTATAGTTGTGTGGTTTTTCAAAGAGATATCACAGCTGTGGATTTTATTCTGATCAGTCAGGTTTTAAATGACCATAAATTCATCTGGTTGAAACAATCGTTGCGTGTCAGAGTACATTAACCTAACTACATGATTATCTCCAAAATCAAAAATAGCTGACAATCTGGACTTTGTGGTAGGAATCTCCAAAGCACCTAAGCATTCCTGGATGTCCAATACTTACTTGCTGTAACATCTCCTTGTGACAAGGATGAGGGTTGAAGTAGAGAACAGTCAAAAGTGGCAAATATACTAGGAATTAGCTAGCTTCCAACAAAGGATCAAAATGCACAGCCATGTGCACGCTTTGTGAATAAAATCTCAAAGTTCCTCTTCCAGACTCATGTATGTTATCCAGTTCATACTTACATTTCAGATTTAACAACAGCTGAGTTTGACGAGAAGATGAGACAGATGTTTGAGAGAGACGTGGGGTTTCTGAAAGCAGGTCAAAGGGCGGCATGTTTCAGAACTCTAGCAAGCCTTCCAGTTGAGGTAAACCTTCTTGCACACTTCATTAATCCCATGAGTTCGTTTCTAGGTTTGTCTTATCATTCCTTGTGCTAAGTGGTAAATGTCTTTTCCTGCATCACTTCTGACTTTCCCCATGCATCAGGCTGACACACAATTCTTACAACTAAATAATGTTAAATGGTGTGTTACACCGAATTATTTCACCCAGGATAATTTGTTGTAGCAATTGTGATGGTTTTCGCATTTTAAGAACGCGCTTGCAATGACTTTTTTTTTGGTCACATTACAGTTAATGCACTTCGCGCCAGCTGGCCCTAAGAAAATGGAGGCGGTAGAAGATACCTTGCATGGACCCGATACCTTTGACCTTGAAATCATTCGAATCCAGAACCTTGCTCCGTATGTTGGAAGGTGTCAGTGAAAAGATGTAGTTTCCTATGTGGCCTGACAGTAAAGGATTATATATATCAGTCCACTAATAGTTTCAGAACTTGAAACCAGATATTCAGAAGGAATACATTTTAAACATGTTCACGGAAAGAATGATATGTAATTAGCTTTGAATAAAGTTTTGCATTCCTTTCATCTTTGCTTTCAATTCATAAATGTCGCATTCTGTGCACTGTTTATCCGTGTTCTTGCTCTTTTCTGAGAAATATGTTGAACTGCACACGTGAGTGAATGGTACTTCAGTCACGCTGAGAAATCCATTTGAGACTATTCGTATCCTGAATATGATTGAAATCGAATTCCAGTTCCGTGATAGGCTATTCCATGGTGATATCCTGAGGTCACATTATGACCAACAACTTTTCCCATTTCTCCGTGAACACTCAACAAGAAGAGAGCCACTGTGAAGACGCGTCACATTCTTAACTTCTCCACAAATATAAATTCCAGATACAGCTTTGGAAATGGCAAAGGGATTAAGTTTAATTGGTTGTTTATCAGCTGCTTCTATGACAACAAATCGGGCCCATGAATCTAAAACAGGAGATGACTTTTCGGTTTGATTAGTTTCATCAAGATCGACATATGGTCGGTTTGAACGGTTTGAACCAGGGTATGCGTGAGACATGATGAAAGAAAATAATTCAACACCCCTGCTCCCCACCCACTATTGAGTGCCATAAAGAGCGATGTTTTATTGCGCCGGATCTCCAACATGCAAACATCAGGGATACAGAGGTGATATACTCCAGTAAAAACAACATGAATAGCTGAATTTCTATACCAAATATAATGTCAGGCTGGTTCGGCCCATGACAGTTAATTGGAGACAGACAGAACTCAGAGGTTGATAGTACCCGATTGGCCCATGAGCCACCGCCTTCTGGCATTGGACTCTAGGCAAGTTTATATCATACATTAATAACATACATACACACCCAACATTCACATACACAGCGCATGGCGTGATCAGCCGATTGATAGAACCGGGCCCATTTTACCACCCGTCTAGGTTAAGTCAGGGTCTAAGTGGTGTTGTGAGCAAAAGGAACCCCAGTTCCAGGCTCCAGTGCCCTCAGCCACCAGAATACCGTCCTCCACCAACACAAGGGCACAACCCACGCCAGACAGGTTGCCCAATTTGATCGCCTTTTACGACCAGAAATGGGGTGCTGTGGACACATTCTGTCCCGGTTCCACACGGGGGAAGAGCTATTAGCATTACCCAGCACTCACCACGGGGAGGTTGCTCATCATGAGTACCCCAAAAATCATCAATTATTAGAAGATTTTTTAATAAGTAAATAAAATGGGGTACACTTTTTGACATGAACTTACCGAAAGTTGGACAAGAGTCCATATTGAATACAACTGCCAATATCTAAGAAACACTATTGTCATAACGATACGAAACGACTTTTACAAAGATCTCCTGACTTCATTGTGGAATTTCATTTCATCTATTCGTTCCACAGAACTATCAGATATTGGCCTATTTACGAATAATGCATGGTTAAATTAAAATATCTAGATTAATGGAAAAGGGGCAGTCTGCGAAAACAGGTACGGAAAACGCTTACGCTATGCACATGACTTGTTGGAAGAGAAAGGGTTTTGTTTTCCTTTGAATCTGCTGTTAAGAAATTTAATTTACAAACAAATTTCTTGACATTGATGATCATTATAAACACCATAACACAATACTGAAGAACTATATGAATCAATCGGAAGAACTTGAGACCCCTCTAAAATCCCATTTGATCCTTTAATATGCAAGACCTACAGAAATGTAGAAAAAAACACTACTTTAACAAACGTTTGGTTAAAAAATTATTGTTTAAAAAATCAACGCTCCATGAAGCGGGAAATATTTTGAAAGTTGAAATATCTTAAGAGGACTGGACAAACTCTTACTGCAAACTCTTTACGTGCACTGTAAATACTAAGCTTCAATGTTTTCAATACAAAGGTCTACCCCCTTTCTACCTACTAATAATATATTATCCAAAATGGGATATGTAGACAGCAATACATGTAGCCTTTGAGACTCACATAGAAAGGACTGAACTGTTTTGGGATTGCAGCTGAGTAAAATCGAACTGGACATCACTGGAACTTTGGCTAAACACCAGCTCTCAAATCAAAGGAATTATCCCCAAACGACAGGTTTTGCTTAGATACAAATTCAGAAGTAATGCCTCATTCAAATGTTTAATTACACATTTTATCATGTTAAGACACAAAGCATATTCCATTGTTCCAGATCTGCCAGAATGTACTGAAGCAGTATTTCTTCATCCCCAAATGTACAGGGGGAATTTAGTCACATCTTTAAATAATGGTCATCATGCCATGCACTTTTCGTAACATGGAAATCACCGTTTTTCTGTTTTGTGAAAACAATATGAAATGCCACAAAAAAATGTTTAAAAAAAGAAAAAAAGGTTCTGCATTGCCAACAAAGCACGTTCATCTCCAAAATATGCATAGAAAATAGTTGAACACGTGTGCTACTTTATGCTGACATGCGCAGTGGGACTTTCAGTTGGGAACCCACGTATACCTATCGCTGCAGTTACCTTCGGCAGCAGTCACTAGCCAGTATTCAACGTCGTCACAGTCGGAAAGGTAAAGTATCGAAACGTCTCAATTTTGATTATATGTGTGATTATATAGAGTTCAGTCGTCATAAATAACCATTGGTGGTTCAATTCATTTATTAAATTGCAAAAAGAGAGACAGATAGGGGGATGGAGGATAATAGCAAATGTGCGATAGCATAAAGAGCGAAGAAGATGTTACAAGTGTCACCAATAATTTCTTTTATGTCTATATGTTATTGCCCAAAATTAACAGAACTGATGATGTAATGATATGAATACATCAACAGGCCATGTTTTATTTATGAAAGAAGTATGCATTAATAATGGCAAAGTAACATGCATATGCGTGTTGAGTACCAGTTGTATATTCATTTGAGATTATAGCTGATATATGGCAGACACCCGGGCCTGAGGCATCAAAGATAAAAGTATCAATAATGGACAATTACATGTAGATATACCAAAAAATAATGGAAATAATACAAGCACAAAAAGTTTCAATGATGAGAGGATTCGATGCACCGACATCAGACAGACATAAACTACTCTCCAACAATCTACCAAAACTGTGATCTTAAAAAATGTTTGAATATAGAAAACTCAAAGATGTTGTCATCCGGCTTGTTTGTAATACGTTCTATATTGTGACCTTTTTTCAGCCTGTTTGGACTTTACTTCTAGATTAGAGAATGGCAAAAGTTAAAACAGTAATACAACTTCGCAAAATATCTGGAATAATATAAACATTCTATTTGGCAGAAAACTAATGTTTTGATACTTTTCACAATCTGCTTATAAATGAGAACAATGATATGGCAAAGTATATTTGTGTTCGTAGCCAGAAATTAACGGTGGAACTCAAATAAACCTGGACTTTCGGTTTGTGCGGAGAAATTACGATTTTACAACAATGTTCATGCTCCTCATTGGTCTCTTCACCCTGTCGTGTCTCCCCCGGTCGATTCTCGGCTGCTGTGATGATAGCAACGCCCTTCTGTACAGAGTTGACATCACCCTTCCTCCTAAGGTGGGGAGGGACGAGACGGCAGACATATTGCAGATTAAGGCAAAAGTGGAGGGTCTAACTGACATCAAAGTTATATTTTCATTTAAGGTTAGTGTAATTGTTGCATCGCCATTTTGTAAAGCGTAGACCACGTCACGTAGCTTGTCATAAGAGACGATTCAATTTGGATCAGGTTGCTCTGTGCCTTAGCTGATTGCATGTGATCTTGCCCCGATGGTGTTGATCCTTGCTCATCAGGTGTTTGTATTTTGGTTGCAACAAAGCATTCTGTTATTCTCAGAGAAACAACCATGTTGCTAATCACAACAGACTTTGATCGGACGTCGCCGTTTGTCAGTCCCTGAGTCTTTGCCCATAGATATTTACAGTCTGCTTGAATACTGTTTATCTTGCCTTAGAAATATTCACCCTTTCACTTACTCAAATTGTTGTTTTACAGGAAATCGGGAACCCAAAGGTATTGCTTGGTGAGTTCGATTATACAAAAATTGCTGAAGTTTCCCTTATAACAAAGTTACTTTTAGACATACTCTACTGTTGCTCAGCACATCTCCTATTAACGGAATATATAACTGTACTACGTAACTAGCTGGCATCGCCAAACCTGAACCAAACTTCATTAATCGTGAAGGACATTTGATTTTGTCCAATCATCGTCCACAGATGAAGTATGACACAATGGCTTTCAGCGTGGGGTTATGACGATCTTTCAGAAACTACATTATAGATAGAACAGCTATCCACTTATAGTCAATTGACATGTTTATCTCATATGTTTGTTTACACGACAAAGAAAGAAATATCTGTTAATTTCAGTTCTTAATGTTGAGAAAGCGTGCAGCTGGCCACAATTGACAAGCTTTCTGTCACGAAAGGGCTATGAGGTGAAGACGACCCCAGTGTACCGCTGTAGTGACTACGCCCGGTAACTTGGGGTCAATGTATCAAGAGACATTTATGATTTGTCTCTCGAGGATGATGAGCACTTACTTCTTGGCAAGCAAATATTTCATGTCAAAGGTATGTCTGGCAGTTAAGCGCTTACATATCGATCATTTCATGTAAGTATTATCATATAGTTGCAAGTTAGCATTTTCATATAGTTACAAGTTAGTATTATCATATCGTTACAAAGTAGTTTTATCATATTGTTACAAGTATTATTATATAATTAAACGTATGTGGTTAGCGCATCAGTCACTATACATACAGCATCACATGGGTTAACTCACCTGCAGAAAACCTTTCCTAGCTACTGTGCGTGTTGGTTTAAAAGGGGGATAAACACAACA